GCTAATCAGTGCAACCATAGAGTGGGTGGGCCAGCTAATCAGTGCAACCATAGAGTGGGTGGGCCAGCTGATCAGTGCAACCAAGTCCCATGAGACCTGGGACTTTCCACCTGCAAGGCCGTTGCTCCTTGCCTCTGGGTGCATTCTGGAAGGAGGAGTCGGACCGTCCTTGTCCAGCCGCCCTCTGGAATCTTGTTGTGTTTCTGTGTGACGAATGGGGTGTGTTTCCCCAACAGGCTTGTCTGGTGCAGCTGGGGGAACCAGGTGGGGCAGGGGAGGGCGTCCCTGGGAGCGCTGGAGGGAAGGTTAAGGTGGCCTCGGGAGTCTGCTGGTGGGCACGAGGCTCTTTTTCCTCAAGGAACCCGTAGGCGACCGAAGAGAACAGGACGACACCCGGGCTGGTTTGGAGCAAAGGTCTGTTGCCCTTTGTTACGGCGATCGTGACGGATCTTTCTGCACTGTGAGACCCGGGAGGCTCTAGGCGCTGGGGTTGCAGCGGAAGACGCTCTGAACGCGGGGGCTCCGCTTCGCTCACGCTGCTGATAGCCGCTGGTTCTCTTGCGTGCATCCTCAGGCCTGGTTCTTTCTCCCCCCTTCAGAGATCGGACGTGTACTGTCCTGAACGTGGAGGGCGATGCCTTCGGCGCGGGGCTCCTGCAGGTGTACGCGGAAAAGACAATGGGCGAGACGGAGAACGGTGACCTGGTGGAGGTCAAGACGGAGCCCGTGGAAGCCATCAAGGCAGTGGGGATAGCGGAGGGGTCCCCGCTGATTACGAGGGATGGTCCAGCCCGTTTGGAGAGCAACAGTTCTTGCGAAAAAGAATCCGTGATGTAACTGACTTAATCAAAGGCTGGACAATTTAGGAGATTTTTTTTTCCTCCAAAAAAGAACTTTAGTAAGCCACAATTCTGCTCCATCCTTCAAGATTTGAATTCCTCATAAGAAGGAAGCTTAGTTTAATGATGGAGAGCTTTTCAACCCAGAATCTGCTAAACACAGCCTTTTCCACCTTTGTTTTTTCTTTAAACTTCAAGTGCTTCGTAAATTTGGAAACTTCGACAAATGCCGTAAGGTCATCACTCCGTTTATTCCAAATCTTTGTCCGTCGTTCTGGTGCCGGTTGTAGAAGTTCAGCGGCAAGAGAACGTGCTCTTCTTCAGTTCTCCACTGTTACATTCAGTTAAAAAAAACCAAAAACTCAGCAAATGAATTGATGTATCAAGATCTCTCAATCATCTTTTTTTCTCTTTTGGGCCTCTGACTCTCTTCTCTGCACTTATTTTTAGTATTTTGGACCAAGCGAGCAGGAAGAGTCTTCAGGGTTGTTTTTGTTCCTTGTCCATTTCCCTTATTTGACATTCTTTGGTCTGTTGACCCAGATGAGGGAAGAAATGCACCGGGTTAAATCTTAAACAGATACGCTTTTTTTTTTCCAAATCCAAGAACTTGAATGCTGTTTGCAAGGCGACAGCCAGCCCTCATAAATGCGAACACTGGAGGGAAAGGGATTTTTCTTCCAGGCCTTTAGTTGCTGTTTCTTATCTCCATCCCTTGCGTTCCATGTGCTCACACGGGGGCCTGCTGATGAGTGTTAACTGCCAACGTGGCCAACAATAATTGTTTGAAACTCTGTTTTCTCTCCCTGTCTTCCCCCCAGCCCAGTTTGGCTATCTTCTATTTGTGTTTCATGTTTTTTAGAATTGGGACGGCTGACTTGCAATGTAATTTATTTCTGAAATAAGATGAACTCTTCATGTCTGGTTTTGGAGCAGGGGTATAAGAAAGAGGAATTGTGTTCGTTCTGAAATCTTAACGGAATATCCTTTGGTACTCTCCTCTTGTAGCTGTCCATTAGTTTACATTCCAGGTTTTTGTGCCAAATAGGTGAGCCACTTGACCTTTGCTGTAAGGGGTTAGCAGCTGGCAGCCCCACTGGTTTGGTCCGCCCAAGCTTGCTGGCCAGCTTTTGCAACTGTAGGTGGAGTAAGATAAGAGGGGAGGAAATGCAGTCAAATTATCAGTCACCAAATTCAGTACGACAGAGGTAACTATTCCTGCAGTAGCTGAGCTGGTGGGACAGTGTATCCCCTATAGAGCCCCACTGCCTCTTCCCAGTGGCCAGTTGACAAACCTAATTCCTGTATCTTCACATACTTGCCCTGTTTTGCAAATGCAGATCGATCTCAGGGTCTCCCTAATTATGGCCCACTTTGTCAGTTCTTCCCATCTCCAAACTTCATAGGTAAGAACTTTATTTCAGTAACTGACCAGCCTTGGAATCCAGATCCTTTGAGGCTTGAACCTGGAATCCGGGTCAGTCTGAGGACGCAGAGCTCTGCCCCCTGATCCTGACTGCCCAGAATGTCTTTTGGACGTCTCATGGTCTGCCCCAAGCGCACTGGGGGAAATTCTCTGCCATGTTTTTTTTTAAAAACAACAATAATAGTGAACCTCGGAGGGGCAGTGGGGTCTTGGAGGGAACGCTGACTGAGCATGGTTCTTCTTTACTGGCTTATTACTTTTCGAAGGAGAGTGCCTTCTAGCAGGAAAACAGGGTTAGGGTTGAGGCTGCAAGTCCCGAGCTTCTCATCTGCAGCCTGGATTGATCTGTGGGCAGAGGGAAACTCATCCAATGGCCCGCTGTCCTGACCAGTTCTGGTGGTTGGGGAAAAGCGGATGAATAAAGCCTCCCCTCTGAGAAACCTAATTCAGAAATGCAGAAGCTGGATTTCTGTAATGCTCGTGTCGCAGCATCATGAAAGACTGGCTAGCTATAAGGAAAGGCCAGAGAGTTATGCAAAAAAAAATTTTTTTTTCCAGTCTTTGGACAAAACCCCTTTTCTGGGTTGAGAGATCTGTAGAGAACAGGGAGGACTAGCAACTTGTATTTTATAAAATGAAAGGGGTAGTCCCCAAAGGCTGGCTTCCGCACAGGACATCCATCTCTACCTGTGGTGCAGCAAGTTTGCCAAGGGCCACTGTGCTTGTCTGAACGTGTGCAGACTTGGGCCAGGGGTACCACCACCCCATCTTGGGGTGCCCAACTGCAGTTTTTCAATGTTAAGCTTTCACAGTTGGCATGCAACAAGATTGCTTCCTTAAGTGCGTTTTAGCACTTCAGAACACCTGTGCTGGGGGTTCCTTGACCAGGTGGGGGAAGCTGGCTGTTTAGGGCATAGGTTGCTGTGCAGAAGACAAGTTTTGCTGTGAGGGTTGGGTTGGGGCAGATGGGTGTAGGGGTCTGGCTGGAGAACGATGGAGATTGCATTTCTGAGCAAGCAGAAGTAAAAGGGAAAGAGCTACTAAAAATCATAGGAGCTGGCCAGGATTTGCATCGGAGGCTCCTCCCATAACTCGTATAGTTAAAATGAAAAAGGTGCTGTATTTTTCGGATTGTACAGTTTATATAAGTCGCAGCGTTGTGCAGAATTTTAGATGTTTGTAGCAGGGGAGCCCATCTGTATAACTTCAGCTTTTTTAAAAAATGTAAGTGGGTCCCTGCTCTACCAAGGGCTTCCTCTGGTTTTCTTACTTCACTGAATCTGTCCATCTGTCTTGCTCTTGGATGAAAATTAAATGTTCAATATGTCTGGGTAATACGGGTGGTACACTGAAGGAAACGGGCACAGGCCCAGTTTGGTTCAGAATCGATCAGCTGCTGGTCTCCGTGTCCGAAGCGCCAGGGAAAGTCAAAAGGGTGAAAATGGTGGCTGGAAACACAAGATCCCTGCCCATTTTTGACATGCTATTTGATCATGAGTTTCGGATCACTTTCTTGACCTTTTTTTGACTCTCCCTGACGTATGGCTGTTCTGGGAGATAGTGGCTTCTTTGGAGTGTCACATCTTCAAATAGTTCTTCCAGATTGGAAGCTGTAGATGTAAGGTGGCATGTGTGCACGCACACGCCCTTGGTTTAGTGAAATCCAAGTTGTTTATACCTCTAGATCAGTGTTTCTCAACCTTGGCAACTTTTAAGATGTGTGGACTTCAAGGTGGAGTTGAAGTCCACACATCTTCCAGTTGCCAAGGTTGAGAAACAATACTCTAGATTAAGGTTATGGCAAATGTTTTGGAACATACTGTATTTGCAGTGGAAAGTGGGCATTGCCTGGTTCCCTTCTGCACACCGGCTATAAACCACCTAGACCGCTGGAGCTGGGCAATGTATACGCAAAGAAACAAGAGGAGCAAACCTTCTGCGTGTAACAGCTGCATCTGGGTGATGTGATCTGGGCACTGGAAAGGGAGCCCAAGGGGAAATGTGCTGCTTTGGCCAGGTCTTGGCAATCAGGGTTGTGTGTCACATGTTCTCTGGAATTTGGGGGGGGATCATTCCTGTTTTGACTTGGTCCCAGGTGCCCAGGCAAAGGGACTGGGCAGAAGCAGCAGCGGGATGGCTATGCCAGAACCTGGTGAGCGCCTCGTCTGGCGATGTGATGGAATGGTTTGATGAAGGGCGCGCTCGAGGAGATAAGCATTTCCTTAGCCCCCAGCAGGAGCGTGGGAAGGTTAAGAAGATGAGACTGGCACCACCCTAAGGAATTCACGGTGTTTTGGCTGGCTGGCTTGGGAAGTGTAGATTCAGTCTGGAGAGATTTCTGTTTGAGAGGTGGAAGCTAATAAATGCAACAGAACTATATCTGTACTGTCTCATAGGCTGAACCTGACAGGCGAGAAGTTTGGAGGAGACTTGAAAACCCCATTCCAGTACTTTCTGCCCAGTTTTGCGAGCAAAGGAGCCATGCTCTGCTTCAGTGTCTGTGTGCACGTCTGAGTGTGAATGTGGGTACTTGTTTTAAACCATGACTGGGCGAGAAGGAGCTACGACGGTTCCTGGCCTTTTGTAGCAAATGGTTCTGCAACTGAGAACGGGTGACGGTTTCTTTCCAAAGTGGGTGGACTTTGCAGGTCCAGCTGCTGCCCAGAGAAGCAGAAACCGGTAAGACGGGTTTCCTTCTGGCCAACTGATAATTG